ACATTATCACTACAAATCAGTATTTATTCGCCAATAATTTCCTGCTAAATATATTTATTCCTTAAATATTTTAATGTAAAATGTGCTTTTTCAGATTTATAAAGTAATGTAAAGCACATAATGTTTCATAAATTGGCTGATAAGGAAGTGAAATAAAGCATAAATCAGAACCAAAAAGGAGTGAATACTATAGTTTTACATATATGGCAAGATACAAGCAAAATAGATTCATACTTCAAGGCAAAGCTTAAGTTTATTAACAGGATAAAGAAACTTCAGCCGATTGGCAATCAATTTAGGAAGAATTAAAGTATTAGTAACACATTACAAGAAAAAGGCTGAATTAAAAATTGTGGATTTACTTTACCATAAGGACCATAAATTACTCAAATTTGAAACGAATTAAGATAAATTAAATAAATTAAGTAAACCGAGAATCAATAATTTAAAGATAATACATGCAGCATCACGATAATATCTTGTGAAATTTAATGGCGGATACACAATTTATGTAACCCATCCAAAAACGCACCAAATGAAATGACGAAATAGGTTATAAAGTCATCCACTATTACTTAGTAGGCAAACCTCAGGAATAAGAAGTTACAAAAGGCTTTCTAGCATACAAGAAGCGAACCTGGGAAAAGATTTTCTAAGAAAAATTAAGAATAAAGGACTTCTCTAATTAATTAGACCAAATAAATGATATATTGAATTATGATAATTTTAAATTTAATCACTTTAAATGGGTTTAAAAGTGGATGCTTATGCAGATACAAATCAAGATTATCAATCTAAAGATTAAAGTGTAACGAAATTTTTAAGAGTTAAATATATAAATGATTAGTCTTATTAATATATAGGATAGCCGCAATTAGCCTCCTTACATCCTTGTATATTTGTAGGCATTTTAACAAGATTACAAATAGTATTTATAACTTTATTTGTGCAAAGAAATATTTTCATTAGTAAAAACATGCAAGCTCTAAGGCTTAATCAAAATTATTTACCAAGAATTATTAGTTAAATGCTTAAGTTTGTGTTATAGAGGGCTGACCCCATATCTTCTAAGTTATCAACTTACACGAATAAAACCGGATTGATTAAGGTTGATATTTTCCTCTTTGTCTTTTATTGCTTGCATATCTTTTTCAAGAGCAAAGTAATCAATAAAGCCAGGGTAATTACTGCATTTATAACAATTAGCTAAGGCACTTATTTCCGAATCAGTTATATCATGAATATTTGGAAATGCTCGGTAAAACTAAAGTTAATATTAATTAAACACTAAATACCTGGCTTTCTGATACCCTCCCCATATTATGAATATCAAAGTCTTTGTAGCATTTACGAATACTATCTCCACGATAGCAGAGATATTTGTTAATTCTTGAAAATAGCGATTTAAAGCCAAAATTATCAATAGTAGAAGAATGCCTAGATCTGTCACAAAAACAATTTATTTTAAGTTAAGGATATATATAAACCTTGATGTATTAACGAGACTTGGAGCCACAGAATTTTCCAAATTGCTTTGATTAATTCCTTCTTCTATATCATTAACAAATTTTTTCCAATTAAGAGATCTCCCATCTTTAGACAAATAGTTATTGATGATCTCTTGCTGTTGCTCTGGAGAAAATACTATTTTGAGGTTATTATTCAGTATTCTAAAGAATTGTGAATCTTTTCGCATAAATATTATATCAAACTACTTGTAACATAACCCGATCGTAATTTATCAAAATCCAGAAAAAACTCTCCAACCCGAATTCTTTTATGATTTGATATACTCCTTATATTATCTTGTATGGTTTGAATATCGGTTGTCATCGTTAGAATGAAACAGAAGCAGCAAAGAAAAATTGTTCGTATTTCACAGGCATAGGTTACTATGTAAACCAATCACTCAACAATTATAACATGCTTCGTATAGCAGCTATTGATATATTGTATTTTTATAAATTTTTAAGGAGTAACCCATTTTAAGATAATAAATATCAAGGATTGAATTTGGATAACTATTTATATTATTTTTATACTTTGCCTATTTTAGTTGAAAAAATATACTTCACTATGATTTATCAATTTCTATTCAAAAATTAAATAGATTTTTATCTAAAAATTTGGTTTCTAAAACAATGTTTAATATAAAAGATCATAAAGATAATTACATCAATAAAACGAGTATATAACAGGCTTTTCATCTTTAACTCAAGATTATTATTTAAGTACGTTATTTTCTTTGACAAATTTCGAAAGTTTTAATAAATTTATTTTAGCTATTTCTACTTTATTTAGCGAGAATCTATGAGACTTACGATCTATGTCAGTGTAGCGTGTATGCTCGACATCTTAACCAATATCACACATTTCCACGAATGCAATTTTAGTAATAGAACAAATGTGAATTTCAGGGAAGGCAAGGCAGTTTCCCGTATGATATTCTTTATATTCGTAAGTTAGTAGGGTTTTGATACCAGTAAATCAGTGTTGATGAGAAGTATTAACCCTATTTCGTATAAGGTGATGAATGACCGGTAGTAGAATTTTCCCACAATGATATGAGTTGAGCTGATGTTTCCACTGAATTTTTACATAGCCTTGCTTTACCAAAAGTTGTTCTGATCCTGGGTGGACTGCAGTTTCGACCTCGCATCGGTCTTATCAACACCCTCAGCGGGATTTAAACCGCGACACTGCAGGACGGTAGTTTGACACGCTAACCACTCGGCTACACTGCCACGAGTACCCTTGAATCACAGGGCATTACACTGATTTACTGGTAGTCTCGAAACCCTACTCTTATACA